TCAGATGTCAAAAACGCCCGGGGGGGCGTGGCCCCGCCTTTGAGGCGCAGCTCCTCCCCCACTCAGATCTTCAGACTATCCAGGAGCCATTAGCAAACACCTGGTGGAGCTGCTGAGCTCATTATAGGAGCTGCTGCTCAGAGCAACGCTGGTAAAAACAGATTAGTAGAGGAGCCATGTTGGGATGACTTCCTGCAGGCAGAGCTTCAGAAAGAGGGGGAGTTTTTAAAGAGACAGAGGCCCAATTTCAAGGCATTAAATTAGGAAGCAAAATGTCTTTGAGTCATAAAAGTAACATTGTTACCTGATTATGGTATAAAATGGTGCAATGTGCCTGGAAAACACATAATACTGCCCCTTTAGGCACACAATTGTTATCTTGAAGGTTCTCTTTATGTCTCCCTTCTGGAGACTGGAGGGCCACAAAAAAAGCTCTGGCGGGTCGGATTTGGCCCCCATGCCTTGAGTTTGACACATGTGCTCTAAAACATGGAGTATCTGGGTTTGACTCACGCTGCAGAAGGTCGTGCAGCTGCTGGACGTACGGGTTGTATTTAGTTGGATCCGAGCAGTTGTAGGAAATCTCAACAGCATGAGGACGAACAACCAGACCTGAAACAAAGCAACGCATGAAGTCATGAGGCAGAGAGAACACAGCTGCAGCATCCTGCAGCAGCTAGCAGCATCATGCAGCATCCTGCAGCAGCTAGCAGCATCATGCAGCATCCTGCAGCAGCTAGCAGCATCATGCTGCATCCTGCAGCAGCTAGCAGCATCATGCTGCATCCTGCAGCAGCTAGCAGCATCACGCTGCATCCTGCAACGTTATGCAGCATCATGCAGCGTTATGCAGCATCCTGCAGCATCCTGCAGCATCATGCAGCGTTATGCAGCATCCTGCAGCAGCTGGCAGTGGCGGTGGGGTCACCTGGAGAGGCCAGGCGGTCCTGGTGCCGGGGAACGGCGTCATCCAGCGTCTGCAGCATCACCCATATGGTGAGGATGAACATTCCCGTCAGGACGCCATAAAAGATGAGGTAGAAGAGGAAAATGAGACCTAAAGGAAAAAAAATCAAACATTTCTTTGTTTATATCTGCAGAAACAAACAGGAAGTGAAAGTGTTGGCTAAGTGACTGCAGTTGGCTTAAACCAGAGGTGTCCAAAGTGTGGCTTGGGGGCCGTGTGCAGTCCTCTGGATGAATTTGTGTGGCCCCCAACCACAGTTCTACAGGCAAATATAACCTGAAAGCAACAGCAATTAATGCAGATGGACATTTTTTTTAATTTCTTTTACAATTTTATAGACAAATAGTCTTTTTAAATTTTCAAAATAATTTTGGTACAACACATTTCTTTTGCATTTGTTGTCAATTGTAGCCTCTGTGTACTCTGTACAGGACAGTACAATGACAATAAAGACTTTATTTATTTTACTTAGTATTAAAGGAGCACAAGCATCCAGTTGATTGCGAAAAGAATCAACTCCTCAAAAAAATCGCTCCCAAAGTTTAGTTCTCCTCTTTCATGTTGTGATGCTGAACAGGATAAATGAAATATTTTTTATCATTCCTTTATCTCATTCTTCGTTTAACACAGTTTGCCTCAAATCATCACAAACCCAATGAGGTTATTCCACACCACCAATGCCTGTTTATGCATATTTAACACATTCCAAAAATCCTTTTTTGTTTTTGCTCCCATCTAGTGGCTAGAATTATGTCTAAATTAATTCATTTGGTAACTAAGTCTACACACACAGCAAGTCTTGATGCTCAATTTACCTTTTTTGCTGATATCTGATTTTATTCGTATTACTAATTAAATGCAGTAGCAATTGGACTTCTGTATTACGACAACAAAGTGACCCGCATGCGAAGAAGAACATAGACGTCACTCAGCAGACTTCTGTTTCCGGCAGTAACAATGGACGTCGCCTTCTATGGATGGATTTTAAATTTATTTACCAATGCAAGCTGAGATCTTCACCAGATCATAACAAGACGAAGGAAGCAGATAAAAAGAAAGTCCATCAAACAGCAACGGTCTTCAGTGAAGCACTGACTGCAGCTTCTGACCCGGTTCTGTCTGGAAATGGAGTCGGACCAGGAGGTTGGTATGTGATGCGTTCACTGACTCAGACTTCTTTCATCACTTCATTATATCATTTCCAGACATTGTTTATGTGCAGATTTACCGTCTGTCTTCTTCTGCTGCAGAATTATGACGCATGTTTCACGTCAATGATGTAAAAGTCGGATAAAATGTGACACGACGGTTCAGACTGCAGACATTTGAAAACTTTCGGCTACGAACCCGATTTAATAACAGAAATGGAAATGGTACAAATTAAATTTTTTCAGACTACAATGAAAAAAAAAATCACATATAGGTAGCAATAGTTTTGTTATTAATGTAATTTTAAGGCTGCACTCCCACCGGCACTGTTTCGTCCGCTTTAATCCAAGTCCAGTCCGTCTGCCTGGAAAGTCCGGTTCGTTTGGTGAGGTGTGGATGCTAATCGAACTCGGGCTTACCGACAAACCTCAGTCTGGGTTCGGTCGAAGTTAACTGGTGTGGTTCGAATGCTAAAAGAGAGACCGCTGCAAAACCAGGAAGCGCAGGGCATTCTGGGTAAATACAATCAAAACAAACGTGCTAGCCAAGCGCTAGCGGAAGAAATGGCTCTTGATCTTTACCTAAAAACAAAAGAGAAATCCTCCAACCGCTAAAATCTGATGCAACTCCTTTTTTGTTTCCCTTTCATGAAGAAGAGAGTTGATGTCAAATACTTGAAAATAAAAAGTAAATTAACTGAATGTTTTTATACAATGTTAAATGTGTTCAGTTATGAGTTGAGTAGTAAGTTTCAGTGTCTCGTTGCAGCCCAGATATCCACTAAAAGCAACATTTAACTCTGGTTTATTCAGAATCGATTTGATTTGTGGCCACAACTGCTGACACATTAGTAAAATATCTCAGCATTAATGTCTGTTTGAATAATGCATGAAGCAGCACATATCAGCTTAACAATACATCTTCAGGGAGCAGTTATGCAGTAAATGTTCAGACAACTCTGACTGGGCCTTCAGATGTGGTGTCAGTTGGTTTGATTTGAGTAAACTGGGCTGTCAAACAAACAGAGGCAGCAGATGAAGCAAAAATAATCTGAGTCCAATTTTAAACATTTCTACAGAAACAGGCAGTCCAGAAATCTGGTGGTATCCAGCAGAGAGCAGATAAGGATAAGGACCAAACACTGAAGTCTGATGGAACAAACCGATAATGATAGCGGAAGGATTTCTGTTGGCTTGAAACCAGGAGAAGTTGAAATTTATTTCAGGTGAGCTGATAGCAGGAACAGGTTCAAACTCCATCCAGGTGAGAGTTGGGACTGTGGAGTTAGTCAGATTTATCATTCAGTTTCAAGTTTGACTCTAAATGATCACATCAAAGGAGCCTAGCCTAAAGGTTTGGTCTTCAAAACGATTGAATACCAATCAATTATTGGTCTTAAACAGGCTGATCATGTTAGAAAACCTTCCAATGTGGCTGAACCAGAACAGATGGGGCCCAAACTCAAAAGACCTCTTGTTAAAGGTCAGTTAGTCAGATATTAATCAGTTTTACGTTTATTTTTCTCTAAACCTATAAGGAGGCACATATTTCTTTTTTCTCACCAGTTTTCTTAATATTTTGGTTTACTAGTAAGAAGTTGGGCTGCACAGTGGTGCAGTTGGTAGAACTGTTGCCTTGTAGCAAGAAGGTTCTGGGTTCGATTCCCGGCCCGGGGTCTTTCTGCATGGAGTCTGCATGTTCTCCCTGTGCATGGTGGGTTCTCTCCAGGTACTCCGGCTTCCTCTAAATTCTCCCTAGGTGTGAGTGTGTGTGTGCATGGTGTTTGTCCTGTATGTCTCTGTGTTGCCCTGTGACAGACTGGCGACCTGTCCAGGGTGACCCCGCCTCTCGCCCGGAACGTTAGCTAGAGAGGCACCAGCAACCGTCCTGACCCCACGAAGGGACAAGGTGCAAGAAAATGGATGGATAGTAAGAAATTCAGGACCTTGGAAAGACATGTAGCGCCCATATCTACACCAGCCACCAGGGGGCAGAACTGGTTCTTGGATATTTGAAGTACTGTACGTCTCAGCCTTGTTAGAGCCTAGTAACGACTCCTGACAGGTCAAACTAGAATCTTCTGAGTCGGCTGATCTTCACTTCCTATCCAAACTCTGGTCACTGCCTGATAACGTTGCCTTAAAGCTGCAGCATCTAATTTTTATATTTAAAAAAATTATTTTCTTATGTTTTTATTAAAACTCACCATGTCGTGACAGTTAGCTATGAGACAGATAAAATGTGAAAAAATGAGCTTCTCTGCCTTCTCCCACTGCTAACTAGAAACAACCAATCAGATCCAGGAGGCGGGACTTAGTGCGGTCAATCATGCCCCCCCACCTAGCCTGGCAACCGATGACAGCAGAAAAACTATTTTCCTGTAATGTTAAGTTATTTCTCCATTAGCACATTTAGCAGCAGTACATACGGATGATTGACAGCGCTAAGCCCCTCCTGCTGGCTCTGATTGGTTGATTTTGGTTGGTAGCTGTGCTTTTCTTCAGTAGTAGCTTAGAGAGGAGATCAATCTTCTTAGATTATATTTCTCATAATTTATTAAAACATGGGAGAGTTTTAACAAATATGTAAAAAACATTTTATTTATTAAAGTTACTGCAGCTTTAAGGACAAGGCAATAGCGTCCAACTCTTCATGCGCCGATCCGATGTTTTCCAGACATTCAGGTTCTGACTCTACAGTCCCTTTTCAGACCAACGGACTCATAAGATCCAGTTTTCAGCCGAGAATATCAACCAAAAACGGGCTAGAACAACATCAACCTTTCAGTTTTATGATTTTCTTCTAAGCCCTTAAAATGCTTTTTTTTGCAAAAGATTTTAGTTTGTATTTTCTCCCAGAGTGGCTGCACTTTACTTTGTCTCACTTCTTGTTTCTCTCATGACCTTCCTGTCAGATATGCAGTCGCAGGAATCCGCAGCAGTCTGTGAAGTTCTTTTGACGTTAAACTCGTTCTAATGGCTGCCTTCATCATTTGAATTAATTTTCCGTCAGATTTTGACCTTTACTCACTGCTGCCCCCTGTTGGCCGTTCTTACCATGTCAGCCAAACAGTTTCAGCTGCTGAACTTTGTGTGACCCGTATAAATGTTTCAGATGATCGTTCATCTTTATAAAAATAAATTATTTTTAGGAACAAAAACTGCATAAAGAGGGCATTATTGTAATTTAATTCCATTAATGGAGGACGGTAACAGGAAGTAGCTGCAACAAAATGAAACTCACCGCATGAAAATGATTCCACTTTTTTATTTCCTCTGGCAAAACGTTACACTTTTAATTGAAACAAAAAAAGTTAGTAAATTAAAGCTTTAGGTTTGTGAATTCATTCATTAAATTGTAAAATAATTATTTTTGGTAAAACGGTTATGACGAAAGAAAACAGAAAAATACTGAAAAGCTTTTATTTTAGTTTATTTTGATCAACGTTTAAACATTTAGGTCAGAAGATGGTGAAACTCAGAGCCGAACTGGTTTCACGGGAGTCTGATCTGGTTTAATAAGCTGGACGGGTTTCATATTCTGGACCCATTTAATGAGCTGAACTGGTACTAATCTGGACTGGTTTATTAATCTGGACTGGTTTATTATTAATCTGGACTGGTTTGTTAATCTGGACTGGTTTATTATTAACCTGGACTGGTTTGTTAATCTGGACTGGTTTTTTATTATTCTGGACTGGTTTGTTAATCTGGACTGGTTTATTATTAATCTGGACTGGTTTGTTCATCTGGACTGGTTTATTATTAATCTGGACTGGTTTATTATTCTGGACTGGTTTGTTAATCTGGACTGGTTTGTTAATCTGGACTGGTCCATTAAACCGGCACCATGAATATAATCTGCACATATTTGACATCATTAAACATTAACTCTTTATTGTCCGGATATTGGCTCAGTTCGGTTCGGGCCGCAGCAGCAGCAGAACCTTTGATAAATGAATACACCATGCCGAGCTTCGGTTCGGTTGAATCGATCAGAACCGAGCCTGGTGCGCGGCCCAGGCCGCCTCTTACCCCAGCTGCTGGCGGTTCGGCCCAGGAACTCTCCGGTCCGCGGGTTGTAGATGAAATCCTTCCATGATTCCTTCTTCTCCTCCTTCTTCTCCTCCTTTTTCTGCTCCTTCTTCTTCTTGTCCTTCTCTTCCTCCTCTTTCTTCTTCTCCTCCTTTTTCTCCTCCGTTTTCTCCTCCTTCTCTCCCACCTTCCCCTCCTCCTTCGCCGCATCCTTCTCTTCCCCCAGCGCCTCTTTCTCCTCCGGTTTCTGCTCCGCGTTCGTCTCTTTCGGCGGCTCCTGGTTCGGTTCTTGGTTCTGGACTTCTGGGGCGGACGACATGCTGGTGCGGCGCCGGGCTGATCCGAACCGGGCTAATTAATCTGCGCTTGCAGCGATCCGTTGGGTCTGTCAGCGATGCTCGCTCTGGAGCCCAGCACACACACACACACACACACACACACACACACACACACACACTCGCGCGCGCACGTAAGAGAATGCGCGCTGACTCACCCACACACGGCAGCGCACGGACTGCTGCAGAACGCGGCGCATGCGCATTACGGAGTCCTGAGGGTCTCCAGTGATGGAGTCAGGGAGAAGCTGAGAGGAGAAGGTTTGATTAATTAACTAAATTAATTACTTAGTTAATTTATTAATTAAACAGCAATTAAATCACGTGACCTTTTATGTGAGGAGGCATTTTTACAGTCTAGTCCTCAGGATTACTCACACTTCTCATCTATAATATAATATAATATAATATAATATAATATAATATAATATAATATAATATAATATAATATAATAGGTTTGTTTCAAGTGTGTGACTAAATGATGCAAAATCACATTAAACTGTATCTGAAGTTATATAATCACACCAGAGGTGACAGTCACGTGACTACAGGAAGTCAAACTCATTGGGTCAAATCGGAGTGATGTCATTCTGATGTCACACTCACCAAAAGGTATGAAGTCACGTGACCAGCAGTGGTAAATGGCAGCAGAGAAGCAGAAGGAGGAGATGTGAAGGAGTCCATCCTCAGCTGATCCATCGTGGTACCGTTAGAACCGACCCGACCAGAACTTCAGTTCACCTCTCCTTAATGAACCCGATCAGAACCATCTGACCGGTTTTGTGTTCAGGATGACCATTTTTCACACACAGAGTCTGTTATGGAGTCCTTATTTATTTTCTTTAGTAGCAAAAATCTGAGAGTTTGACTTAAACCCAAACAAGTCCAGTTAAAGTCCAACACCGAACCGCGAATGAGCGACTTGATCACATTAAACCCAAAAGCAAAGAAAATTATAAATTATTATATAAAATAAATCAACTAATCAGATTCAGGACAGTCAAAGTTCGTTTTGGGCAACAGAGCGTAAACTATTGCTAATCTGCTAATGCGCTAGTGGCAGAGCTAATTTTTTGTTTAGCACTTTAGCATTTTAGCTATCTTTGGAAACGTTTAACATCTTTAGCTTTAATTCTCCAGATAAATTTTAGTTCTAATTTGTCTGTTTTTTAAATTTCAGTTGAATAAAATTGGACATTTATGTTGATCGACTTTATGAATCCCTCAAGTAATTAGATGTTTATGTTCATGCTCTTATTTTGAAGTCTGTGTACACAGCAGTTTCATTTCCTCTCTTCATGTATTCTTTAATATTCTTCATAGTTTTAAAAAGCAGCTGAAGACACATTCATTCAGTTTGGCTTTTATTTGGTTTTATCTTGTTTTATGTCACATATTCTGTTTTATCTCTCCTTCAGTTTATCTTCTGTGTTTTTATATCTTATTTTGTAAAACACTTTGTGGTTTCTGAACTGTGAAAGGTTCTACATAAATAAAGCTACTTTTTAAATAAAGCTTATTGAACAAGTGGAAAATATACAAACAAACAAAAAATGAGGTTTTCAGAAAAATACACTTAAATAAACAAACAGCCAGAGATGCTGATTAAACAGATACATGCAAAAATTCATACATATAAATTGTTTTGAGAGCTTTTTTGTTGGTGTTCCTCATGCTCTCCACCCGTGACGCGGTGCAGCAAATTACATTTACTCTGTACCCAGAATGCATTGCGGTAGAACAATATGCAGTTTCATATCTGCTGATGTCCTGAGTGCTTTCTGACCCTGTGGTCAAAAACTCAGACTGCAGAAGTTAGGATGGTTAAAACATAAAGATAATAAAGGTACAGCACTCATTATTAAAACATTTTATTTGTGTTTGTTTTATGTTTATGATTCTCTCTCTGTCCAGATGGAACTAAATACTCTGGAATCATTTCAGGAACATGAATATGTTCGTTTTTGAGGTTTTTTAAAGTGATGTGATCATGTGGGATTCAGGAGTAAAGAAGAATGAGACCGGGAAGTGGACCTGCACAAACATTAAATTTATCAGTAAAAAAATACTTTTTCAGCTGCTGGTTCTGATTTTAAAAACTCAGGAAGATCTGCAGAATAATTTCAGTAAATCAGTCACTAAATGTGATCAGTCCAACTGGTCCAACTGGTTATTGAGCAGCTGGTTCCCTCAGGAATCCAGACCAGAACCAGCAGACGAACTGGGATGTTTCTGGGCAAAAATGGCTCTAAAGCGTCTGATCCTGAATCTCTAAAGTTGGACATTTATTGCATCATTTATCGTGATAAATTTCTTGTCAAGATAAAATTTTGATTTATCATTGACACAATAAATTCCATATAATGATGTTTAAAACCCCAACAAAACTGTTAGTTTTACTATTTTGTTCACTGCTTGTGTAATGAGAGTTTCAGTAAATGTGAAAATATGATTAAAAGCAGTGGCTGTGTGCAATTTAGTGATAGAAATCACACTGGTTCTGGTTCTGTTGACTGACGTTAAGACTGTTTCACTGGGCGGGTGAAAAGTTTTATCACAAGGTTTTCTGGTTCTATTATAATGACAAACGTGACAATAAGAGCTATTTATTGCTTCTTTTTTAGGTAAGTACTGACAGAAACTGAATTTAATTATATTTTCAAATTAATTGATATTAATGCACTTTTATTGAACAAACAGTTTTAAAAAATAGCAAAATAACAATCCTGACAATACAGACAGTTTTATTTGGAATTTATCAAAAGAAAAATAAATCAAAATCTTATTATGGTAAGGAATTTATTAAAATTAATGATTATCGATACGATAAATGTTCACTTCTACTTCACTCATTGATCCAACAGGAACTGAACTGAGTCCAGAAAATCAGAGAGCTGTGACATCACACGGCGGTGGAGAAACACCATGTGACCTCATCACACACACACACACACACACACACACACACACACACACACACCGAGCCACCGTCAGCAGGAGGAGGAGCCAGCAGGCTGAGGATGCTGTCAGGTTGCCGTGGTTTCAGCCTCCTGCTTCTTGAGCCGACCGTTGCGTGCGCGGCCGAAGGCTGAGAGCTGTGAGGATTTATGACAGGACGGAGGGAAGGAGGTGAGGAGGAAAGGAGGGGAGGAGGAGGCTGTGACAGCAGGAGGTGTTGAAGGGTGGATTATCGCTGCTGCAGAAAAACATCAGAGTCATCGTTTCCTCTGAGTTCTGGCCATCAGGAAGCTCCATCACTCCATCTGAGCAGAGGGAGGACTGAAGGAGGGATGGAGGGAGTGTGAGTCCTCGCTGGTCCTCAGGTAAGCCTTACGTCTTCAACATGTCTGCCTGCTCCACTCATTTCCTTCAGCTTGATGTGGATAGAACGAAGTGTCAATAAAGTCTGCTCAAAACACATCCGGCTCCTTCCCACCCAGAACCATTTCCCTCCAACATGGCCGCCATCTTTCAGCAGAAAGCAGAACAAAATAAAAAATATGTAAATGTAAAATAGGGTCTTATTTTGAAACTGGTATGAGGAATAAATTAGGTAAATAAAAACAAACATGAAATGTTGCAGACAGGAAATGACCCAGGCGTGATTCAACATGGCCGCCTGATTAGATGTGATCCAATATGGCTACCTGATCAAATGTGATCCAATATGGCTTCCTGATCAAATGTGATCCAATATGGCTTCCTGATCAACATTTTTAAAGCAAATCGAAACCAGAGAGTGAAAGAACAGAAGCCAGAAGACCACAGGACTGACAACAGAACCCCTTGGACTGAAACCAATGGACCAACAAACCAAAACCAGAGATCAGCAGGACTGAAACCAGAGGCTTATGGGACTGAAACCTAGCAACAACAGCACAGAAACCATGGTAATACTGGACTGAAACCAGAAATAAAACCAATGGATCACCAAACCAAAACCAGACAACCAGTGGACTAAAACTCGAAGACCAAAGAACTGAAAATAGAGAAGAACCAGACAGAAACCAGGAATACGACAAATTGACCATCAGGCTGAAACCAGAGCACCTTGGGACAGAAACTGGGATAGTACCAGTGAGACGTTACATAAATGAATTGACTTCATGTCTGAACGTGATTGAATCAGCAGCAGACGAGGCGTCAGGGTGGAGCGGCAGGAGATGATAAAACAAGGTTTCATTGAGTGATGGTTCAGATTCATCCATCCAATCCGAAACAGTCTGTCCTTTCAACATAAAACCAGGTTCAGTTCATTTCCACACAGAAATTCACAATAACTCAAATTTACACCAGTACAACCAAGTTATATAGACAGACTGAAATTAAAGGTGCTCTGACCAACCTGACCCTCATGTAAAAGAAGGCGGACCAAATCAGGATGTTTTACAAACTGATAGGAAACTTACTAAGGAAGAGCCTGAAACCAAGCATGAGGTGACAGTTGGCAGGAACAACTTCCTTTTCACAAGATGAAACCGACAACAGAACCAGAACAAGAATCATGGTGAGCGGTCGGTCATCTGAAGTGAAGTGACGAGACGTCCGTCCGTCCGTCTGTCCGTCCGTCCGTCCGTCCATCCATCCATCCGTCCATCCACCCATCAGCCTGTTTTCTCTTGGTCTTGTTTACTGGTTTTGGTTTTTGTTCTAATTTTTTGAGTTTTCTTTCAGGATTCTGTCTTTAGCTTCTGTTATGGGTTCCTGTTCTGGTCTGCTAGTCTTGGTTTTTGTTCTAAGCTCTTTAGTTTCTGTTTTGGCTTTGGTTCTGTTTATGGTTCTGTTTGTCCAGACAGTAACTCAGTTTCTGAGGCTCTTTGAAGGAGTTAGTCATTTAGTAAATTAAAACTGAGATCAGTAAACCACATCCAAACTCTGTAAAAAGTGAATTGAACCTATTACTGTTTCAGCCCCTGGTTTCTTTGTTCATTTAAGTTCTTGTTAACTTTCTCCAGAACCAGACAGATTCGGGTCAAATCCATGCAGGACCTTCAGAAACTGACATTTAGCAGATATTTCTGCAGTTTTGCTTCCTCCTGTTCTCTGCAGCAGTTCATCTCAGGATTCTCTCTGCTGTGAATTTCAGATTCAGCAGATTATTTGATTCTCAGCTCCTGAAAGCATTAGCACAGAGCCGGAAACGGCGGTAGAACCATCGGGAACCAGAACCCAGAGCAGAGCCGAGTTCAGGTCTCTGGGATGCAGAAGGTGGTTGATGGAGAGACGTTACATAAATGAATCGACTTCATGTCTGAACGTGATTGAATCAGCAGCAGACGAGGCGTCAGGGTGGAGCGGCAGGAGATGCTCCGTCTTCCAAACATCGACCCGCCGGTGGGTTAGGAGAACATCTGTCCCTCACCGCCTCCTCCTTCCATCGGCTCCCCTTCATCAGCCGCACACAAGGAGGCATTACATCATGCTCCTCTGAGAGATGCTGCTGTTGCTAGGTTACCGCTGGCTGACTCTCTCTTCCATTTTTAGAAGGATGCTGAGAGACAGAGGGGTGGGGGAGGGGACGGAGAGCAGAAGGATTCAGAAAGACACCAAACAGCAGGAACTGAAAGTCCTTCAGATGGTTCTATTGATCTGTACGGTTAACTGTCAGTTATATATAGCATTAACTATCAGAGAATCAAACGTTCTGAGGAATTTAGGGCATCAGAAACCAGCTTACAGTCCGACTGGTTCTGCTGAGAACCGGTTTGAATTCAGAATCAAGCTAAACAAGCAGGAAGTGAAGCTGTTCAAGGAACAAACTCTGTCCTGGTTTTCCGCTGCAGTTTTTATGTTTTTGTTTCTCATATTTTCTCATGTTGGTTCTTTTATTATTTACTTTACAAAGTAATCCTAATACACAAACTTTGTGTCAACTTTTTGCATCAACTCTCTGTGGAAATGAGGATCAGCAACTTTTTAAAATGTTCCCCGATTTCTGTCCATAGAAAAATGGACTTGAGTTGTTTGGAAATGACCTTTTTAGATCGACTGGCAGCCCCAATAAACCGACAAAAAGCCTTTATGTTTTGTAAAGTGATCTGAAATTTAAAAAAATGAAGATAGTTTTGTTAGTAAATAAGATAAAATAATTAGACATCTTATAGATTTAGTTTTTTTTTTTTTGTTTTTTTTTTTTCAGAAAAATCAGAACCACTAAGTTTATTCTGAAGTGTCAATTTGTAGCTGGTATATGTTGTTTATGCTTTTCTAAATTTAATGTTATCTTAATGGGAACAAACAGCAGCTAAAGCTCATTTCTGTGTGTTTTCACACAGAACTAAAGGTTTCATAATCACCAAATTGAGAGTTAAAGAATCTCAGTCTAAATTTGTGATATTTGAGCTGGATGTGGTCAAATCGACAAAATAACACTGAAATGCTTCTTTAGCTTAGCACCAAACCGACAGACTGACAGTGAATTTAATTCCAGTTACCTCTGAAGTCAGAGCAGGAAGTGACATCACAACTGAGTTAGCGATGTCCCAGTTAGCATAGTCAGAGAAGTTGGGATTCCAACATGGCGACGCCCAAGTAGCCATTACGAACATCATACTGAGCTTTTCTTTCCACACACAAACACAACTTTTAATTTTCTCAACTTGATGTTGCATTCACTTCGTTTAGCACTGATCTTAGACTCTCTGTTACAAGAAGGTTTTCTTGTAAAATAAACATGTTTTCACCACATGGATGTGAGGAGCGGCCATATTGGAGTCTGTGTTTCAGAAATGCTCAGACTTTCTAGCATTCTACTTGAATTTTCCAGGTTTAGTTGAATGTCAGCTGTCAGCCACAGACCCAGATGGAGCCAACAGTCCGACCCGTGGGTGACCTTCTCTCCTCGTCCTCAGATCCGTGGGGAGTCATGACCTCTCAGGAAGAGGCGTCTTCCTTCAGGAGGTTCTTTCAGTACGTGGAGGACAGCGCGCTTCGGACATACGACGGTCTGGTGATCCAAAACGCTTCCGACATCGCCAGAGAGAGCGACCGCATCCGGAACCAGACCAACTGGACCTACCTGCAGGAGAAACACCAGAAGAAGAGACGGCAAGAAGAGGCCATTAAGAGGTAAACAGGCTGTTTTGTAACTCAGACGATCATGTTTGTCAATATCACTTCATCAGACTTTATTTTGAAATGCAGGATTTTGACCATCAAGAAGAGGCAGGTTCTCTTGGCAAGTCTTCAGCTGAACATCTTGTGTCTCAATTCTCCTTAAATCTTCAGTTTTTTTATTATGAGACTGAAATGATTTGACTGGTTCTTTTAATCAACCTCCTGACTCAGGATAAAACGGTACCAACTGAAGTTTTTCAGATGAAGGAAACATGAAGAGGTGAAAGTTTAGTTCTGATGAATGACATGAGGGTGCAGAATTTGATTTGTTTACATTAAGAAATGTTAACAAGTCAGTGATCAATATCAATCTACAACAGAACATGAGCAATCTTGATGATGGTCCTGTTTTTTTAACGGTGTTTTCCCAACTGATAGTCCGGTAGACTCAGTTCGACTGGAGGCCAAAATTAAACTGAATCAAACAAATATCCTCTTATTCCTTTCTACTGATGCTTGACTGAATCTTTTCAGTTGATCACACTAACCCAACATTCTCCTGGTCTTTCCCAGGATTGGAGAAGACGTCGCCACGGCCTCAGATGGGGCATACTCTGGAAAACATTTCAGGATGGGCTTCATGACGATGCCGGCGCCACAGGACCGACTGCCCACGCCGACCCAAGGCTTCACTGTGCGATCCCAGTCTCTTCACTCAGTCGGCGGTGGAGAGGAAGACTCCAACCACAGTCGCAAGCAACCTCCACCCAAACCCAAGCGAGACCCGACCACCAAACTGAGCAGCAGCTCTGAGGCGGTGGATGGAGTCACTGGTTTCATAAAGAGAGAGTATCAAGAAGCAAAAGATGGTGCAGAACTTTCAGAAGGTGAGATTTGAATCATCCATGTCCTTTGGGACCGACGTTCCTCAGGAGCCACACCCCCGAAGCCTTCAGATCAGTTGTGTTCAGCTCTCACGGGTCGTTGTTGATGCTGCTGTTGTCAAAACTTGGTTTCTATGAACTGGGTCATTTTGGACTACTACCAAACGTAATGGCATGCTGATTGGATAATAGAGTTGGGTGATTTGGGTGAAGAAAGTATTACAATACAAGCATTTTTTATGAGTCCGTTTTCTTTTAAATATCCATAATACAGCCAAACTGGTAAAGTGACCTTCGCTTTTTATCCACAACTTCCTCTTGAGTTGTTATACTCGTTTTCTCCTGTAACTCCACCACAATCTTTTTCATTTTTAAGCAGTTATGGGCCACGGTGGCGAAACATGAAACTGCTCCCACATACTCAGGCGTACTGCATGTATTCTGTGGACTGTGCACTGACCGCAGACGGTTGAGATTTCATAGTCGGTACATTGTGTACATTTGTGTACATCGTACACTAATGTACAATTGGTACACATTGGTACCAAATGTAGGTACCAGTTGTATCCAACTTGACTGGATACTAGCATGTTTCCCAAACTTGCTAGTATCCAAATAAATACCAGCAAACTTGCTTGTATCTGAGTGTTTAGTAGAAAGGGGCTAGTTGCTCAACTACCTTATCAAACTTGTTTGCGAACACGTCCAGTGGACGTTTGCTTTCACGTCGACCTCCAAAGACCGAAGTACGCCCAAGTATGTTGGGTCAACACGAAACTGCTACTGAACAAGTTACTCACCAGGTTGTTGCTAGGTAACCAAAGAGTGAGTGAGTGAGTTGATGCCACCAACCACAGCTTAGCTGTGAGAGGTTGAGCTGCTAAAGCCTTTCCTTTGCCTACGTCCCCCAGAATGCTACATGGTTCTTGTTTGGAGTTCAATGAAATTATCAACATTTTATTGGACTTGTTTTCTTTTGCTTTTAATCAAGTACCTATCACGATAGCTATCATTATTGTGTCGTTGTCCAGTCCTATTAGATTATAGATTTACTTGAATCAGATGTGCCGGATGGGGAGACAAATACGACTTTGTAAGTCACTGAACATTAAGGGTGAATAAGAAGTAAGTATTTGTTTGGATTCTCAGTTGTTTCTGTTTGCCTGCAGCTCGATACCATCACCACAGTGAAGAATCCAGGAAGATGCCTCCACCCAAACCTAAGAGAGACCCAAACACTCAGCTTAGCTCCTCTTTTGATGAGTCCTACGTCCGTAACCACTGCAGCAAGAAGTCTTCCCTCCAAGACGATAAATCCTCGTCTCAGAGTCACAGCCCGGCATCCAGAGACACGGACGACGAAGAGCCGGTTTACATCGAGATGGTCGGAAACATCCTGCGTGAACTGAAAGGTCAGGAAACGGTGGACGACGAGCAGAGCGAGTCTGTGTACGAGGAGATGAAGTTCCCGATGCTGGAGGACTTTCTACAGGATGTGCAGTCTACCATCATCGACAGTGAGGCGTGGTCTTCCCGCGGTTCGTTCTGTGACATTCCTCCACCCTTCCCAAACCTCCTGACTCACCGCCCTCCGTTGCTCGTCTTCCCGCCCGCCCCGGTCCAGTGCTCCCCCAACTCCGACGAGTCCCCTCTCACCCCGCTTGATGTCACTCGTCTGCCTATGCTAGAAAACGTTAGTTTGAGTAAATCGGGTGGAGCAGAGCAGCCACAGAGCTCCGGTCACCACCGTAAAGACCGAGACCGGGACCGGGACGCGTCCCACACTCACACAATCACATCCTCTGGTCGCTCATCAGCCCCTCCCCTTGCCTCCAGTTTTTACAAGTCGTCTAGCTCCGCCCACAGCGGTCACGGCTACCCCCGCAGCCAATCAGCATGCCCGTCTCCGGTCAGCATGGGGCGCGCTCTGACTCCTCTGAGTTTGAAGAGGCCGCCCCCTTATGACACTCTGATAGCAGGAGGAAGCATACCCCGCTCCTCTTCCTCATCATCGTCATCCTCACAGAGGGCAGGAGAGGGTGGAGCTAAACTCAGTAACTCGTCCTCCGCCCACGGCTCCATGCACAACGTCTCGGCGCGGTGCCAGACTCCCACCAGCCCGCTGGACGAACTCAACAACCTGTTTGCGTCTGGCAGGCAGGTGATGAAGAGGGGCTCAGCAGGGAGGAAGAGCAGAGAGGGTGAAGGTAAGAATGTCACAGAATACGAGAAATCTGATGAGCAAGAACAGAACCAGAACCAAGATTATCATAATTAACTAAGACTAACAAAATAACAAAAACTGAAACTGATTAAACATTTTCATCAACTGAAATAAATGAAAACAATAATTAATGGAGAAAACTGTGACTGACTGGAAATACGCCGTCTGTCTATAAAACTAAAATGTACTGAAATTAGAGATCTGACTCCCTTCGTTTTGTGTTTATCGATCTATTTATTAGCCTTTCAAACTGATGTTTATCTAATAATAATACAAACCAGCAAAAACACTCTAAAAACTACTTAAAACTAACTGAATTAGACAAAAACTCACAACCAAAACTAAACTATAATGAAAAACCCAAAACTATCATAACCCTTAGTAGAACCTAATCTGAGGTTCAAGTTTATCTTTAAAAACTGTAAATATGTATTAATGAACATTTACATGAGATTATAGCCTGGTGGTTAATTTAACCTCTAGTCATACTGACAGATAATGCGAAAAAATAAATATATAAAACAACATTAAAGGGGCAGTATTATGTAAAATGCCCTTTTTTATCTTTTCATCATGTTATAATGTTATTCCTTCATCAACCTGGAGGGTTGCTTTGATTCTTCCATCTTTGAGAAATCCTTCAATCTCCATGGCAACCATTCAGCCGTACAAAACGCCTTGATGGACCTAGCCCCGCCTTCGAGACACAGCTCCTCCCCCACTCAGCTCCTAAAAAACTGTTGTTAAAGGGTTTATGGAGGAGCCATGTTGGGACGACGTCCTGAAGGCGGAGGATTTCTTTTAAGTCATATCTGATGTAACTCAGTGTTGATGATTGTAACATGGCTGTTTTATCCAACACCTTTACTGTTTGTTTATAAACCATTTCAACTGGTTTGAAAACTGTTTTGCAAGCCAAGCAACATGTTGTATTAAGACTAAACATGACATCAAAGTATAATTTAGCACTTTCTATAGTTAGATTATTACTAATTAATCTAAAATTATATTAAATTTCATTTTTTCACTTGTTTAAGCAAATTGTTTTAAACAATAACCTCTAAATATGTGAACTCTTGTAATACTTCTAGATTTTTGTCTGGGATAAAAATACTAGAATGAGTTTGTATTTGCCTTTTTTAAAAATACATCCAGCTTTTGCATCGTCATGTTGCTTTGGTTGCCTCAAACCGAAGCAGCAGGATGAATGTTCTGTTGGATTCTTCATGTTTGCACTGATGTTTGATTTCTGCTTCATTTCTGCAGGAGACTCCAAGACTCTGCCAAGACACGACAGTAAAGACAGAGACGGACAATCCAGTCCAGTTTCCAGCAGGATGGGGAGGTCTTCTGTGAGCCCCACCATGATGCTGACGGGCGGAGGAGGAGGAGGAGGAGGAGGAGGAGGGGGAGGCGCGGAAGACTGAACCGCAATATCAACAGCCGCTAAGGTAGAA